GAGAAGAATAGAAAGAATGGATCATTGATGGAGCATTGTGCAGGGGAAGGTAATGTAAGCGAGGAGTTAGAGACAAATGAGCCACTTCTTCATCTGAGACAGGAGGGAAGGATAAAAATGAATTCAGATACAGGTAGGAGGAAGGCCGAGGAAACCCATGCCAGTTTATTTCTATTTTCTCTGGATGGAAGAGTTGGGTCATTCACTGAGAGGAAGGACAGCTTGAAGAGAGAGGAGGCTTGAACACAGATTTGGAACAGCTGTTAGGTAAAGTAAAAAAGAAGAGTCCAGTGGGAGTAGTAAGTAAAATTAAAGCTTATTCAGTATTTCAAGAGCATAATTGAAGTCAGAGCTCAGGATTATTTTCATGACACTAATCAGCATACCTAACAGTATTTTCTCTCAAAACTTGATAGCTTGGGCACGTAAGAATAGAGAATGATGGTTCAGTTGATGAGAATTGGAAATTGGCAAGATAGTTATTGTGGAAGGTAAAGGAATCCCCCAAATTGGGATGATGCTAGTGAGAATATCATTAAGGTGATTGGCATTCTGGTTTAGGCTGAGTGTAGAGAGATTGCACCTCACAAAGTAGGATAATTGCAGAGGGCCAAAAGATACCAGGTTAAAGAGCAGGTTAGGTTGAGAGGATAGGAGGTTGTACAGCACCTATTACCTGTTGGAATCAACATTAGTAGTTGATAAGTTAGTGAAAAAAGTCAGTTTCGATGATGAAGTTTTTAAAAAATCTTTAAAAATTTGTAAAATAAAATTCAGTAATACTGTGTTTTATGTATTCGCCAATATTTTTATTTAAAGGTCAAGTGTTCTCTTTGAATATGAATCTTGATTGGAATTCCATGTTCTTTCTGACACAAACCATGTTCATTAATTGTCAGCAATTTCCTGTTTTCCTTTAAGTAGAGCTGACTCTTGTCACTTGCAAAGAAATCTGAGTATGATAGTAGATTTTTATGTCATTTTTCTGATACTATATGGGTAGCATATAATGTATGTTATGTAATCGTTTATTATATACAGCGACTTCAATAGTGGATTTTATTTTCTAGTCATTTACCTTTTAGTCATTTCAAAGGATGTAGTTTGATTTTCATCAAAATAACCACTCTAGGTTTGCATTCAGATTTTATCAATTTGTATAATATGTAATTGAACTATATAATGATATGAATACAATTGGCATAAACATGTTTGGGACAGATACAGCTGATTCTTGGTTATCATTTAATGCAGCTGGTAGGTACGAGAATATGCAGAATAGAGATTAACCCAGTAGCACTGTGCATCAGTCCGTACACTTTACATAGGGAAGGAAGAACATGAGTTAATCTAGAGTCAGTGTACAAAGAGACTCTGTGGTTGTCAGAAAGTGGGATTTCAGAGATGGTGACCAGGTAAAGGGAATGCTTTGTGATAGTAGACATTTATCTTAACCTTATCTTCCTTTATATATCTTTTTGCCCTTCTGTGTCTCTTCCCTAGCATTTTTTTCCGTATCCACAGCCATGGGAACTCAAAATCCTAAGGTTGTCCCTCAGTTTTTCCTGTCTGAGCCTCTGCCCAGAAAAGAGTATTCTCATCTTCATTTAAATACAAGCGACAGGAAATAGAATAAGTCTTCTTTGAATATTTGTTAAATGATTAAGAGAAGAGGCTCTGTTTTACTGAAGTCAGAAAGAGTGAAACTGTAACAGGAATTTTCATTTAGTCTTTATTGGAATTAAAGGGAAGATGTTAGTGGTATTTAGTCTAGTGGGGAAGGGCAGTGCCATCACATCCTTCCAGCCCACTCTCCTACTACAGCACAGATACCAGAGAGGATGTTGGTGATACTACCCTAAGGCCTGGAGAGAGGGCCCAAGTCATTTGTTTTTCATGTTTTACGTTTTCGTATTTTATGTTTTACATTTTTCATTTCTCTTATCACCTTTGGTGTATGTATATACATACATACATATATCAAAGAAGGTATTGTGTGATAATTTTTTCCTTAAAATGGCCATATTAGCTTAAGAATGTCTTTCTAGGGGCACCTGGGTGTCTCAGTCAGTTTTAAGCATCTGACTTCAGCTCAGGTCATGATCTCACTTCGTGGATTCAAGCCCCACATTAGGCTCTGTGCTGACAGTGCAGAGCTTGCTTGGGATTCTCTCTTTGCCTCTCTCTCTCTGCCCCCTCCCCACTTCGCTCACTCTCTCTCTCTCTCTCAAAATAAATAAACTAAAAAAAAGAAAAAGAATTAACAGCACTGTAGAAACAAAAAATGGAATGTCTTTTTAAAGACAAATTACCCTTTTTTTCTTTGAAAAGTTTCTAGTCAAATAAATACATCTCCAAGTTTTTTATTTTAATATTTGAATTAAAGATAGAAAATGTTGACTTTATGGAAGGTACACCTTTAGGGACACCTGAGTGGCCCAGTGGGTTGAGCACCTGACTATTGATTTTGGCTCAGGTCGAGATCTCACAGGCGTGAGATTGAGCCTGCATTGGGCTCTGCACTGACAGCATGGAGCCTGCTTGGAATTCTCTTCCTTTCTCTCTCTCTCTGCCCCTTGCCTGATTTCTCTCTCTCTCTCTCTCTTTTTCTCTCAAAATAAATAAACATTTTTAAAAATTACACAAAATTTAGATTAAAAAAGAACTAGATGTTTGGAATATGTTAAATAAAACAGCTGTGCTATTTTCAGCATATATGAAATTCCTGGAAAGTTTCACAGAATACTTTTCACTACCTGTGGGGCAGTTAAAAGTCAAAGGAATCTCATTTTCCTTTTATGCTCCAATGCACTGTTGGAACTCTTTCTTAGGATTTTATGAATTTTTAACCTGCTTTAAAAAAAAAAAAAAAACATGCTCTGGGCTTTTTGTTTTCACTTTAGATATAATGTCTAGGGTAACTAAATCTACCTTTCATTAAATATAGCTAATATTCAAGTTTTCTAATGAAAAGCTTGTTGAATTGCGATACTGGAATTGTCGCAGCCTCGATCGCTTTCTTCCTCTCCTTCCTTCTTCCTTTTTCTCCTGCCTCTGAAATGGTTTTTCTACTTCAGTAACATCAGCTTTCCTAATCCCCCCAAGACCCATGCACCCAAACACTCATTTTCCCCCCGAAGGCAGTGAGAACCAGAAATGAAACAACTGTCCCTCTTTCTTCTCTCTCTTTTAATCCTGATCTACTTTTGTTCCTCACACTCATATCAGTCAATTCTAGCAAATCTCTAGGTGAATCCTTAGTTGCTAATGCTGGTTATGCCCTTTCAGGTTAACAACGTAACTTATTTTGTTCTCATTTCCACCGAATCAACTTACTGTTTAGCTGATTGGACAGTCCACCTTGATTATTTTAGTTTGGTTTGGTCTTTCTTGGAGAGAAATAGCTCTGATTAATTTCTTCTTGCTGCTTAAACTTTTTCTGGCTGATTCACGTGATCCATAACTGACCTAGAAGTAACCACCTTGGATATGGTTTTATGTTGTAACATTATACTGTAAACCTTATTCTTGGACTGACCATCAATTACTAGAAACAAAGAGGATTTAGGAGAATGAAATTAAAGGTCAATATGGAAATTCCATTAATAATTGAAAAATAGTGAAGTGATAAGGTGGAATCAAGAAAGTAGCCTTTTGACCTTTAATAAGCTTGTATAATTAATAGCATTATGGTATAATGAGTTAAAATATTTACATATGAAATAAAATACATGCAATTTAAAACCAGAAACCCACAAAAGAAAGTTACCCTCACCACAGTAATATTTTCTATATTCCTAACATTTCTCCATGTACAATATTTTTAGGTAAAGTATATAAACTATCATAATCTAGATATTTCCTTATATTTACATATTTTTCTAATTCTAAGCATTTTCCTGTATTACACATATTTTTCTTGATGGTTGGTTTTTTTTTGTTTTTTTTTTTTGTTTTGTTTTTGTTTTTGTTTTTAAAGTAAACTCTAGAGTAGAGATTCCAGTCCAGTAGAGATCAGGAGTCATATGCTCTAGGAACTAAACCAGCTCAGGTGCCTGTCTTGTTTTTATTTGAAGAAAACCTGTATTCTTTCAAGTTGGCAGATGGTGACCATACCTACCCACTCTCCTCTTGGACACTGATGTTTTCATTTTCTTCACTAGCATAGCCTAATATTTCAGTTGTAAACTTTCAGTGCCCAGAGATCCCAAGGGGTCCCCAGAGTTGCACTTTAATGATCCCATGCTAAGATTGCCCCTGGTTAACAGGTTTGTCCAATGAGCCCTTGTTCTGATCTCTACTAATACCAAATTTAGATAATCTTATGATGCAGTGACAATAATAAGTGTCAGTTTGAGCTGCATTTTAAAGCCCACTTGTTTTCCAGAAGAATAAATTAAGTTTGCCTTGATAGACAAATCTTAATTAAAAGTAGAAATAAGACAGAAAATTTTGTGAAGAAAAATAATTCCATTATGAGTAACAGGCAAGAAAAGCTGAAATAAACTCACTTTGTATATGTTACAGAGAGATTTCTGGCTGCTTTTGTAGATAACTCCGGAACTGAAAAGTAGGGCAGATAAAAAAATTAAAACTTGATTTCTTTCTTCCCTTTGCCTTCCTACTTCCCCAAGTAAAATCACATTTTCTTCCATTTTTGTGCTATCTTCTTTTTCTTCAGTAATTCTTTGAATATCTTTTCTTCTAACCAATTAATTGCTTATATAAACCCAAAAGCTTTTCAATTCTTTGAAACTACCTTTCTAAATTGTGTTATCTTTACATTTCTAAATTGTATTGTTTCAGATAATTTTATGAGTTGCTTTGCTTTAAGAAATTATTTCTCCTTTAAATTTCCTTTTTTAAATCTTTGACTCATATTTCAATGGAAATATGGTTTGTAAGTAAACATACATCAGAGTCACTCTTAACTTGAAGATAATCTTGTGTATTTTAACAAAAGCGTAACACTTTTATCCCCTACCTCCCTTTTTTTAAAGGAATCAGCAGGCGGGGATCTTCAGTCTCCTTTAACACCAGAAAGTATCAATGGAACAGATGATGAAAGAGCACCTGACGTGACACAGAACTCAGAACCAAGGGCTGAACCAACTCAGAATGCATTGCCATTTTCACATAGGTACAGATTCAATTCAACCATCATGATTAAGTAAAATGTGTAAATATGGAAACTTACTTGGTTTTAGATAAATCTTGCAAAGTTACTACCCTGAGTGAAAATTCCAGGTCAGTCTTTTTTTTTTTTTTTTTTTTTTTTTTTTTTTTACTTTTTCTGTTAACCTCAGAAAGGTTTTTATAATTTATAGTTTATGGATGGCTAGATGGACTGGAATGAACATTTCCTTTATGTAGAAAAAGGGCTACCTAGTTAATTGCAGCACAAATCACTTTTCAGTGAAACAATATCTTATTATAAATCTCTTCTCTCTTTTTTTTTTTAACACAGCCGTAAAAGGCCTCTTTGTTAACCTGGTTTCCACTTTCATCTGTGTTCTTGAGGGTTATACATTTTTTTAAAAAAACAGGCTTCCTACTCTGAAATTAAGCTTTACCGTACTCTTAGAGGTGATGTCACCATAGGATTTCACAGAAGGAAACAAGTTATTGTCACTTCTATTAGTGTTAATGTCAGATTTAGATTTTGCATATCAACTAACAGAAGATAAATCTTCACATACTTCTGAATTTTAAAAGAATTTGGTACTTGAAAAAGATACAATGTATCTTAAATGTGTTCTAAACCAGTTACATTAATTATTTGCTATTCTGTGGTATTTTTAGGATGTAGGGAGGTATGTGGAACTGTACCCTTGTAAATGTAAACAAAAACCTATTAGTCACTGTCTTAAAATTAATTTTCATCCTTTGGAAACTTTTGACTAGGTAATTTTAAATAAAGTTAAGAGATGCACAACATAGGAAAACTACTTTCTTTTCAAGACCACTTCTTAAAAAATCAAATTCTTTAGCATATTCAGAAAAATTGTGAAGTGATATCATCCAAACTCTTCCATGAGAATTCTAATTTCGATTGAATTTGTTAACTGTTAGAGGCAGCATAGATTTATACATATCAGAGACAAACATTGAGAGACCTCATGGTCAGATTGAGGAAGAAGAAATTAGTTACAGGGTTTTTTTAAGAATGTGTGAGGAAAACTATTTGATTTTGAGGTATTCTAATTTTGTTCCTAAAAATGCAGTAATTTTGCATAAAACAGTAGACATATCTTAGAATTATCATGGAGATCATGCTTTAACTATTGCAGTGTAAGCATATTCTCTTTTCTGTTGTTACAAACATTACTGAACACATGAAAATTTTTGAGTTCCCTGAAGACTGCATTTTCACATTGATTTATAAAGTACACACTTTTTTTGAATATACAATTAGAATTAAAGAGCAATGTGATTAGTATGTAGATTTAAAAAAATGCCAAGGGAAGGAAAAATTTTATTCCTATTAAATTTAGCAGACCCATTTCAAAGACTTAAATGCACTGCATATAATTACAAACTTGATTTCTTTGGCTAACACTTAAATGAGCCATGTGCATTGAATACTGTAGCTTTGGAAATAACTTTTATATTTAACATTTGTAAAAACTGTTTCTGCTTTACTTTATACACCCCAAATTCTCAGAATGTTTGTTTTACTAATCCTTTGTACTTGAATTTACTAACTAGAATTAGTCATCTATTGATTTTCTCTGTTCCTGGGAGTCTAATAGGACTTACTTTGATTTGAAGATACAGCTTCTTTGGTAGAATCTATAGATTAGCCATGGAGATATTTTGAGTTCTGAAAAGAATTTAACAGGTCATTTTAAGCTTTTAATTATGTTAAAGGTATTAACACAATTTTATAGTTCTCCTGTTAGAGTATTTTAAATACTCTTTAGTTTATAAGATTTTTGAAGATTATTTTCTGAAGTGGTTTGATTTCCACCTGAAATAGAAGACTGAATGTTTTATAGCCAATGTTAGAATCCCAAAATAACAGAAGAGACCTTAAAGATGGTATAAACCAAGATCTTCCAAACTGGTAGTTTGAAATCAATTTAGGTTATTCATGGCATTCTGAGAAATGAAACATAATAAAATAGGAAACATCAGAGTAAAATCACGTTAAAAGTAGAAACTTTATTTTAGTCCTATACAGATTTATGTGTGTGTTCTGGATCATGGTGTAAAACGTCCAAGTTTGAAAATGTGTACCTTTGACACATGAGGAGACTAAATCACAGAGGTTAGGTGAGTTGTGCTAGGTCACATTGTTCAGTAGTAAAAACTTTAGTAGTAGTACAGATCACCTTTTGACCCCAGTAGGTACAGCCGGTGGTTAATAGTGTATTTTAGCTCCATTCCCATAACATGCACATTGTTGTCAGGAAGTTAATAACTTCCTGTCCTAGGAGAACTCTGTAGACATAGGATCAGTGTTTCATGAATTAGAAACACAAAGAATATTAAAGTAATCTTCACTTAAATCTGAAACTTGTGTTTACACTTGAAACACTTTTTTTTTTTTCCCCTGGCAAAGGAAGACAATTAATGTTTTTAAAGCTTATTTAGGCTATTTTGCCTTTTTTTCCTTATTTCAAGAGAAAAGAATGAACAAAAAATATTTTGCCAGCATTTCTCTGTTCTGCCGTCTTATTGCTACATAAGGAGCAAAACACTCGAATGTCTATGTCTATGTGTTGTCCTTTGTAAAGGAAGGATATGGGGAACAGTGATCTAGTTATTCAAGTTAATTAAGAGTTGATGGTGTAATAGCACGTAGCAAGACAATTTGTGCTCTTAAAATTCAAACTGTATGCCTAAATCTCATGAATTAATTAACATACCAAAAGAAAGCCCTGATTTTCATTTGGTCCTGAAAATTTTAGTAATGTTGCTACAGTTGGCTCTTTACTCTCTGTAAGTTTTATGTACTTTTTAAAAAGTACTAGCTTTAAAGATACAAGCAAGATTTTTTTTGTTCCTCTTTAAACTTATACAATTTTTCATATGTTTATGAAAGAATACTGTAATGAACTCCCATTAGTGCATCACCCAGCTTCAAGAATTATGAAGAAATGGCTAATCTCAATTCATTTCTATCCCTGCACACTCTTCCACTTTTGTATTATTTTTAAAACAAATCTCAGACATAATTTCATCCGCAAATACTTTTTAAACTACTTTTTAGCTTTTTAAAAACTTATTTACGAGGGTAGTACAGTTTTTTATATTCTCTAATTCAGTGGCATTATCAGGTTACCTTGAATTATTTACTCTTTGATTTGTAATTATACTGCTGAACTAAATTTTGAAATGTATGGGCTGTTAAATACTCCGTAGTCAAGTGCTAAAGTACTGTTTTATGCCCTTGCCGTCAGCTATGCAAAAACATTCTAAGTTTCAATAAATTAATACATTTATAATGTATTTATTTAAATGCTTTTTTAAAGTTTAGGGTGTGTAAACAAGGGAGTTTGTGAGGATGAAAATATTCACTAATTTCTTTGAGGAAATAGCATTACATTTTATCTAACTTGCTATATTTTCTTAAAATATTTTTTAACCTAAATGATAAAAATCATTTTGGGACTGAGCAGGTATACACTGACCAACTGAAGTGTTCAGGGCATCCTTTGAGACCTTAGTCTTGGATTAGCTATATACTAAATGAAGAGCTATATGCTAATAGACCAGCATATACAGTTGGGTGAAGGTTTTGTTTTCTCCTCCCAGGGAGTTACTGTTTCTTCATAACATTGACTGTATAGAATTCTGAAATTACTTGTTAGCACTTAAGAAGAAGAAAATATAGGATTTGTTTTTTTAAGATTTAAAGCTGTTTAAAATTCTCTTGGAAATAGTTAATTTTATTAGTGTCCTGGTGTTACAACGTAATACTGAAAACTAAAACTTTTTATTTTGTTCATTGTAAATTTATGCTCCCAAATATACAGGAATATGTTGATAAATAAGTGCTGTTACCATATTTCTGAGAGTCCAGAACAGACATACACATGCATTAGTAGTTCGTGAAACTATTTTTGTAGTGACGAATTTTAATAACGTTTTGGTTATCTTAATGGAAAAAAGGTTCTTTTAAGCACTGATTATATTTACATTCTTTTAATGTTTCAATAATATATTCTTATGGTGCTGCTAGAACTTCTACATTTTGGGGGTACTGCATGTATCTTCTGTTAAAGAGATTTTTCTGCCACTTTGTGTGTTTCCAACAGATACTCATTAAAGGATGTATGCAGAAATATCACTCTTTAGTACATTGATTTTGCTTTAAATCAGCATAACTATAATTTTACTCAAATTTATGGAATCTGGGTGGGTTCATTTCATTCCTATTTAATAGATTAATTCATCCATTATCAGAGTTTCAGAAAGCTACTATTTTAAAACTGATGAGGGATTTTTGTACAGTTTCAAAAACTAAATTTCATTGGAAATGTTACACACAGTTTTACTTATATGTTAGAATTGTTAAGAAGTGCTTTATCTTGAATCAAATACAGTTTGTACTGACTTGAAAGATGATAGAAACAAGAAAAAAGTTTTGAGTTCTGGGGTTCTATACTCTCCACAGCTGTGCCTTCTGTCTCCCCCTTTTATGGATAGTAGGCAAAATTTACAAGATTTTAGTTGGGAACTAAAATAGATATAATTTCTGTGACTGACTCTTGTTTGGATAAGATTTTGTGTGTATGGGGCGCCTGGGTGGTTCAGTCGGTTAAGTATCTATCTGACTTCAGCTCAGGTCATGATCTCGCAGTTCCATGAGTTCGAGCCCCGCGTCGGGCTCTGTGCTGGCAGCTCAGAGCCTGGAGCCTGCTTCAGATTCTGTCTCCCACTCTCTCTGCCCTTCCCCTGCTCATGCTCTGTCTCTGTCTCAAAAATAAATAAAAATATTAAAAAAAATTTTTTTTTAAGATTTTGTGTGTAAAACTGGGACTTGAGTTCACAAGAAGTGCTTTATCATGAATATAATTATAGATAAAAATTTAAGTTGTAGGATTTCCCTTATAGTAACAGTTAAAAATGACATAATTATTGTTATTTTTCCACCATGGAACCTCAAAATTTAGAGTAGGCTTTTTAAAAATT